TCCTACTACCCCAGCCTATCCAGCCTCTCCTTATAACTCAAATCCTCCATTCTGGTAACATCCTGGTAAATCTTTTCTGAACTCTCTCCCGCCTAATAATATCCTTCCTATTACAGGGTGACCCGAACTGGACACAGTACTCCAGAAGAGGCCTCATCAACATCCTGTACAACCTCAACATGATTTCCCAACTCCTATACTCAGAGATGTGAGTAATGAAGGCAAGCATGCTAAGTGCCTTTTTAATCACCCTGTTTACATGTAACGTAAACTTCAAAGAAAAGCTGTTCCAGTACAGCTACAACACTGGCATCTACCGGACAACAAGAAAAGCTACCCAGATATGTCCCAAAACAAAAGCATGACTGTCCCAACCCAGCCAATTACCACCCCATCAGTGTACTTGCGATCATCAGTAAAGTGTTGGAAGGTATCATCTATAGTGCAATCAAGCAGCACTTACTTAGCAGTAAACAGTTCACTGACATTCAATTTAGGTTCTGCCAAGGCCACTCAGCTCCTGATCTCACTACAGTCTTGACTGAAATGTGGACACAGCTGAATTCCAGAGTTGAGGTGAGAGTGACAGCCCTTGACATCAAGGCTGTTTTCAACCAAGTGTGGCATCAAGGAGCTCTAGCAATATTATGGGAGTCAACGGGAATGAGGGGAAAATCTTCCCATTGCTTGCAGTTGTACTTCACACAAAGGAAAATGGTTGTGGTTGTTGGAGGTCAAGAGTTCCAAAGGCCTAACATCTCCAATTGTTTTCTCAATGACCTTTTCTCCATCATAAGATCAGACATGAGAATATTCACTGATGTTCAGCAAGATCTGGACAATATCCAAGTTTGTACTTTCAAGTTGCAAGTAACATTGCCAGGCAATGACCATCTCGAACAAGAAAGAATCTAGCCACCAACATGTGACATTCAATGGCCTCACTATCACTGAATCCTGGGGATTACCATTGACTAGAAACTAAACTGGACCAGACATATAAATATTCCAGCTACAAGAGCAGGTCAGAAGCTAGGAATCCTGCAGCGACTAACTCACCTCCTGACTCCCCAAAGCCTGTTTACCATCTACAAGGCACAAGTCAAAAGTGTGATAAAATATTCCCCACTTGCCCCACTTAACTAGCACAACACACAAAAATATTGACTCCCTCTACCACCGATGGTCAGTAGCAGCAGAGTGTACCATCTCAAGATGCACTGCAGACGATTCTTTGTTTTTAAAATGTTATCATCAATTCCATAGAATCCCTACAGTGTGGAAACAGGCCCTCTGGCCCAAGAAGTCCACAATGACCCTCAGAGCATCCCACCCACACCCATCCCCCTATAACCCACCTAATCTACACATCACTGAACACTATGGGCAATTTAGCATAGCCAAACCACCTTGCCTGCACATCTTTGGACTGTGGGAGGAAACCAGAGCACCTGAGGAAACCCACGCAGACACGGGGAGAATGCGCAAACTTCACACAGACAGTGACAAGAGCAGCAGGTACATGAAACACCACCATCTGCAGGTTCCCCTCCAAGCCACTCACCACCCTGACTTGGATGGTTCCTTCAGCATTGCTGGCTTAAAATCCTAAAATTCTATCCCTAGCCAAATTTTGGGCTCACCAACACCAAATACACAGCAGCAGTTCAAGAAGGCAGCTCACCATCACCTTCTGAGGGCAACAAGAGATGAGCAATAAGTGCTGGGCCTGTGAGAAACACCCACATCTCATGAATGAATTTTTAAAAACATGCCAATTCGTCCCATATTGCAAGAACTGGCTGCATTTCATTTCTAGCAAAATCTGACAATTTCTGTTCACAGGTTCCATTTTGTTACTTTTATAACAGGGACTTATGTCAGATGAGGCCTGACTTTTCTCTCTGCCTCGTTCCCAGCTGAACTGCCCCCTTGTACCCCTTCATCATGTAAAGGGAAGAGCTATCTTGATGCACCACGTCACTGTCTCACCGACCTTCAAACACTCAATGAAGAAATCTCCTGTAAGGTTGTTCTCCTGAAGATTGCTCAGTAACTGTACCAGGCACTCAATCCGCCACTGCTCCGAGGACACTTTCTCGTACAAAGTCTCATCTTCATCACTGATTAAAACAAAAACGCAGTTTCAGAGTTCAGCTTTGGACAGGTGGTGAGCCAGGTCTGGGTTCATCAGTGTTCTTGTGGAACCTGTTGACATGTTTTGGAATATGCTATTCAGGGGCACCATAAAGATAAGAAATAGAAAGGGGGCAAGGGTAAATTCTTCGGAGACACCAGAAGTAAGATTGTAGAAGCAAGAAGAGAAATCATTACAAGTGATTGTCTGAAACCAACTAGATCGATAAGAGTGGAATCAGCTGATGATGGAGAGCCAATAGAGAAGGATTGTGTGATCAAGCATTGCAAAGGCTACAGGTGAATCGGCTACAGTAGAGTGCGTTTGTACAGTTATATAGGATGTTGTTTGTGGCTGCGATTAGGACTGTTTCTGTGATGTGGCAGGGATGAAAACCTGATTCTGGGGATTCACAGGTGGAATTGGTGTGATACGGACTCTGATTTGGAAAACAACGATACATTTGAGAACTTCAGTGAGGAAGGGGAGAGTGGAAATGGAACAGTACTTTGCAGGAACGGTGGGGGTCAAGAGTGAATTTTTGAGGAGGGGTTGATGATAGCACGTTGATGGGTAGATAGTCAATACCTAAAGAGAGGACAGGCTTAACAATAGGAGCGAATGCAGGGGTCAGGAGGCAACAATGAGTGGTCAACAATTTAATGGAAATGAGCTAAAGAGAACAGAAGGTGGTTCCCATGTGCTGATAGATCTGTAAAAGACCCACAAGGAAACAGGAGGGAAACTATTGGAAAACATGCGATGTGTTAGGACAGAGAACCATCAGAGAGGAATCATCAGAAACAGATGAATCATAGGTTTCAACTGATGATAAAAAAGTCTGAGGGTTCCTTGTAATTCTGGGTGACATTGGGTGTGGAGGTTTCAAGAAATCAGAAGTATCAATGTAGTGCCAATGGATGGTTTATGATGTTAAGTGTGCAATAACAATGCCAGTTGTTGATTCTTTCAGGTACTATTGACTATCAGCAAAACTTTCCTACCTTACTGTCTCCTTCACAGTGAGCTTCACACCTCCCTCACTACCTGCTGTAAAATGGTACAATAGGTGCATGACAGGACTTGATTGTGCCAGGCCTGCAAGTTGCTTCAACACCAACATAGCTACTGGAGGTTCAGATTTTTGTAGGAACCACAAAAGAATCTCCTGGCAACCAGAGCTGATAGACAAAAAAAAAACAATTTTTAGTGAACAACAAAAAAAGTCAATAACGGAATCAGTCAATATCTTAAACAAAAAAAAACACAGAAGAAGATAAAGGAAGTGGATAAGAGTGGTATTTTAAGATGGTGCCGTGGAATGGCGACTTTGTACAATTTTCACTGTACTCCTGTCTTCCTGCACTTGAGTACTTGTGACAATAAAATCTAATAGAATATCCATCTGGGAGAAGAAACTCCTTCATAGTTCAGTGTGAAATGAATGTCTCCTTATTCTAAATCTATATCCCCTTTTTCAAGACTCCCCCACTAGTGGAAAGAACTTCTCAACATTGACCCTTGTCAAGCCTGCTCAGAATCTCCCATGTTTCAATAAGATCATCCTTCATTCTTCTAGACACTAATAAATAATGGCCTAACCTCCCTAGCTGTTCTTGATAGGTCACCTCCTACACCTGAGGAATCAGCCTCATGAATCTCTTTTGAACTGCCTCTAATGCCAATGTATCCTTTCTTAAACATGGAGACCAAACTGTACGCAATATTCCAGGTGCGACCTCACCAATATCCTGTGTAGTTGCAACAAGCCTTATCTATTTTAAAATTGTAACCCTCCAGCAATAAATACTAAAATATCATTTGCTTTATTCATTACTTGCTGCACCTATGTGCTAACCTTTTGTGTTTCACGTACTAGAACACCCAGTTACCCCCGTGCTGCGCTTTTTTGGAGTCTCTCCATTTAAAAGTCTGTCTTTGGATTCTTCTTACCAAAATGTATGTCATTGTATGTCATCCCAAAATGCATCACACTTTCTGACATTAAATTCCATCTGCAAAGTTGTTGCCCACTTACTCAACTAATATCACCTTGTAAATTCCCTACTTACCCATCGCAACATGCCCTCTGATCTATTCTTACCATCAGTAAATTTGGATACATCACACTGTGCTCCCCCGCTCTAAGTCATTAATTATAGATAGTAAATAATTGAGACCCTAAGACTGATGTCTATGTAGTCCAAAGGCTTGTGCCATTTCAACCTTAAAAAGACACATTGATCCCGACTCTTGCCTTGTGTGTGTTAACCAATCCTCAATTCATGCTAATACAGTATCCCAAATTCCATGAACTCCTATCTTATTTGTTACCTGATTGAATGGCTTCTACATCTACTCATTCTCCTTTATGAAATCTGCTAATTATATCAAGGAACGCTATAAAATTTGTCAAATGTTACTTCCCTTTCACAAAATGACGTTGACTCTGTTCAATTGTGCTCAGCTTTTCTAAATGTCTTGCTATTTCTTCATCCATAATGGACTCTATCACTTACCCAACAACAGAAGTTAGGTTAACTGGCTTATACTTTCCAGTTTTCTGTCTCCGTCCGTTTTTGAACAGGAGTGGGGGTCATATTAGCAGTCTTCCAATTTGCTGGAACTCTCCTGGAATCCAGTGAATTCACGTATATTTCAACCAATGCTTCCATTATCTCTGCAGCCACTTCTTATTAAAAAAACTTGGGTGCAGGCCATCAGGTCCTGGTTACTTGTCTGCTTTAGTCTCATCGGTTTGATAAATACTTTGTCCCTTGTTACAAGCTATTCCCTTCGTTAGTACCTTGTTTGTGTTGTCTTTGCAATGTTTATACAGTTCTCCACTATGAGGAATGATGCAACATATTGGTTTGAATGATCTGACATTCCCTAGTTTCCCCATTATGAATTCCCAAGTTGCACCTTCCAAGGGTCCCACACTTACTTTCACTACATTCTTTTTCTTCATAGTTCTCAAACCCTCAATACAATACTGTACAGGAACAAGCCCTACAGCCCACCAAACTTGCATTGATGCCTAATCCTTGTTTAGACCCACTACCTAACAGCCATACATAGTTTCTATCCCTCTGTTTGCCTCCCATTCATGTGTCTATCAAGATGGGCCTTAAACGTTGCTAACATACCTGTTTCCACCACCTACACTGGCAATGTGTTTCAAGCACCCACCACCCTCTGTGTGAAATATTTTCCCTGCACTTCTCCCCTAAACTTTCCCACTCTCACCTTGAACCTGTGCCCTCTTGTAGTTGACCTTTCCACCTTGGGAAAAAGCCTCTGACTGTCCAGTCTCTCCATGCCCTTCATAATCTTGCAGACCTCTAACAGGTTGCCCCTCAACCTCCGTCATCCAGTGAGAACAACCCAAGTTTCTCCAACCTCTCCTCATAGCTAATGCCCTCCAAACAGGCAACATCCTGGTAAATCTTTTCTGTATCCTCTCCAAAGCCTGGAAGTACGGTGACCAGTATTGAACATAATATTCCAAACGCGGCCTAACTAAATATCTATAAAGTTCTGTAAAGCTGCAACATTACCTGACAATTTTTAAACTCAATGCTCCAGCTGATGAAGGCAAGCATGCCATATGCCTTGTTGACTACCTTCTTCACCAGTGTTGCCACTTTCAGTGACCTGTATACCTGTACACCCAGATCCCTCTGCCTATCAGTACTCTTAAGGGTTCTGCCATTAACTGTATATTTTCCATCTGGATTAGACCTTCCAAAATGTATTACCTCACATTTTTACGGATTAAACTCTATCTGCCACCTCACTGCCCAAGTCAGCAACCGATCTATATCTATCTGTATTCTTTGACTGTCCTCTTCGCTATCCACAATTCCACCAATCTTTGTGTCACTGGCAAACTTACTAATCAGACCAGTTACATTTTCCTCCAAGTTATTTATATAAATTACAAATAGCAAAGGTCCCAATGCTGCTCCCTGAGGAATGCCACTAGTTACAGCCCTCCATTCAGAAACGCATCCTTCCACTGCAACCTTCTGTCTTCTATGACCGAGCCAGTTTTTTATCCATCTGTCAAGCTCACCTCTGACCCCGTATGACTTTAACTTCTGTATCAGTCTAACATGAGGGACCTTGTCAAAGGCCTTACTGAAGTCCATGTAGATAACATCCACTGCCCTACCCTCATCGATCATCTTCGTCACTTCCTCAAAAAACACAACCAAGTTAGTGAGACATGACCTCCCCTTCACAAAACCATGTTGTCTCTCACTAATATGCCCACTGATTTCCACATGGGAGTAAATGCTGTCTCGAAGAATCCTCTCCAATAATTTCCCTATCACTGGCGTAAGGCTAACTGACCTGTAATTAGTTGGATTATCCTTGCCGCCTTTCTTAAACAAAGGAACAACATTGGCTATTCTCCAGTCCTCTGGGACTTCCTCTGTAGCCAGTGAGGATACAAAGATTTCCCTTAAGACCCCAGCAATCTCCTTCCTTGCCTCTCTATATATTCTGGGGTATATCCCATCATGCCCTGGGGACTTGTCTACCTTAATGTTTTTCAAGACTCCCAACACCTCCTCCCTTTTGATCTCAACATGACCCAAACTGTCTACACACCCTTCTCCAGACTCATCATCCACCAAGTCCTTCTCTGTGGTGAATACTGACGCAAAGTACTCATTTAATACCTCACCCATTTCCTCTGGCTCCACACATAAATTCCCTTCCCTGTCCTTGAGTGGGCCATCCCTCTGCCTGACTACCCTCTTGCTCCTTATATATGTATAAAAAGCCTTGGGATTTTCCTTAATTCTGTCGGCGAATGACTTTTCATGACCCCTTTTCATGACTTTTCATTTCTCCCTCTTTATTAGCTTTTTAGTTATCCGCTGCTGGTTCACAAAAGATTTCCAATCCTTTGCTTTACACTAGTTATTGCCACTTTGTACGTCTTTGCTTTTAATTGGATACTCTCCATGTACGCTGACCACTGCTGGTCCATCCTTCTCATTAAGTCCTGCTTTTTGATCAGAATACATTTTTACTGAGCATTATGAAATATCTGCTCACACTTAACTATCTGGTACTGATCATCCACTGGCCTTCCCTTTAGTCTATTTTCCCTGAATGCTTTAGACAGCTTCTTCTTCATACCTCTGTGTTCACATTTATTTAAGTTGAGGACACTGGTTTGAGATTCCTGTTGCCTTCCTTCAAATTGAATAAGAAGTTCTACCCTGTTGTGATTGCTACTCCCAGAGGATCCTTCACTCTTATTAATCTTTCCTCGTTACACATTACTAGGTCTAAAATCGCCTGTTTCTGGATAGGCTGTGCAATGCACTGCTCTAAGAAACAATCCCTGATGAATTGTCCAAATTTGTCTTCCATTGTACCCTTGCCCATCTGATTTGTCCAAATTTGTCAATAGGCAAATTAAAATTATCTAGGACAACTGTACTGCCCTTTTTACACAACTTTATCATTTCCTAATTAATACAGTGAGGTAATTGCAAGAGGATTGCTGAATGTTTTTAAGTGATCTGCATTGCTTCTGATCACCCGCATTTTATATAATGTTGAAGAATGTTTTACTTAGTTTTTGACACTCCTTTGTAAGCATTTCTTCATACTCCCCTTTTTACAGCACTTGCCACTGTACATTTGTCTCATTTTGGAGTTTTCTGCATCTTTCCAAACTCCAAGATCTGTCTTGCATTTTTGAGTGCTTTTTCTTTTAGTTTTGTGTGATCTCTTGACTCTTCAGTCATCCACATCTGTTTTCTTATCCCATTAAGCAGATCTCTAAATCCATAGGGATATAAATTGGGATTGTATCACATCAAATTATGTAATTAGCATCTTCTACCAATCTGTAACTCTACATTCATAGATCTGCCCAATTTACTGTGAACAGTTTGTCTCCTCCTATTCCAATTAACCTCACCTAAATAATTATACTGTGTGCTCATTCGAGCATCTCTGTTCTGTCTAATTGCTTTACTCACACATTTACCATTTCTCTTTTCTGATTATCAAATTTACATTTTTTAGTTTTCCATTTACCTGTATGCCTAAAGCACCGACTGTTGCTTTATTCTTCCCTTTTGTATATTTTGGTTATTTATACTATTTTTTCATCTGCACTCTCCCCTCAGGAACAGTTCCTATGTGTTGGTATAAACCTATTGGAACACTATGATTGAATCCTTCCTCTCTAACTATCTCCAATACCCTTTCAAACAGGCACGAGATGTCCCTGGAAGGCAACATTACTTGTGTGACTCTTGACCTTGTTTCCAAAGGATGCCGTGTCCCCCACTTGAATTCTCTATAATTACCACATTATACATTCCCCTCCTCCTCCTCCTCCTCTTCACTCCTTTTGCTGAATGAATTTCTGGCTGTCCTTCCAACAGTGTCATTAAAATAGTGAATATACAGTACCTGGATCAGTTTCTATGGATCCTTGATCAATTTGTGCTCTTATTCTGCACAATATTGGTCACATCATCTGTGTTATCATCAAATATTTTGAATACGCACCTCTCTATGAGTTGTGACTAGATTCCTCGTTCTATCACTAATTTTTTTTATGTCTACTCTGTCCAACCACTTAGTGTCCAACGTCCAACTGTAGTTATCAACCTGCACTCCCTTAGCTCCACTTTTAACACCTGGCATACAAGAAGACCCTCAAATCTCCCTCCACTCTGGCAGTTCCCCTTTTGTGTCATTTCAGCCCACGGAGCACAAAATGATAATACTTGACCAATGACTGTAACACATCAAGATCAATTAAATTTCTCTCTCCTTTTCCAAAACCTCTCACTGCACCACGATAATCCTGGAAAGATACTCAGAATCTTTTCAAAACCCATTTCCTTCTTTAAGGTGAATGTGGAGGAGACAAATGCGAGGAGTTTAAGGACCTTCGTTTACGAAAACTGAGATCATCCATTCACTGCTCACATCCCTATCAAAATCCACACCCCATTTTCACATCTGAATCGCCCCAATCAGGTTCCGGCCTGCCACAGCATTGAAGCAGTCTCAAAGTCACCGAGGACCTTTCATGTTTGGAAGCCTTGTGACCGCTCCTTCCTCAACCATCCAACTCATTAGCTTTTGGAGTAGTCGGTCACATCAACTCTGTTGAAATCGAGTATTTCTAATAAATTGACTATAGACATAGGGTAGTTTGAGCGTAAATACAAACCGCAAATGTGAAACTCCACGTGTTGTGAAGCAATAAAGACTAAAGATTGCTGGAATTACTGCCTTCAGAGATTCCAACAGCCTAGAACTTGGGTCATTTCCAATCACACACACCTAAGAAGAAAAAAGCAGAAACACAAAACAATTACTCTGGAATCTAAGCAATAAGTTTTAAATAAAAAGCATCAAACATTATACTACAAATGTGATGTTAGAAAAATCTTGTTCACACAACGAATGGTTCTGGTCTCGAATGCATTCAAGATGGCATTAGATGAATAGTTGAATAGAAACAGTGTGCAGAAACTTGGGGAAACAGTGTCATAATGCTCTTTCAGAGAGCTGGTGCAGACAATATGTGCCACATGGTTCCATCTACATCATACAACTTAAGAAGAATTAGAGGTGACTTTATTGAAATATACAAGATTCTTCAGAGGATTGGCAGGGTACATGTGGACATATTGTTTCTCCCTGTGGGAGAGTCTAGAGTCAGGGCACATAATCTCAGGGTAAGGGGGCAACATTAAGACAGAGATGTGAAAGAATTTTTTTTTTCGGAGGGCAGTAAATCTGTGGAGTTCTTTACAGCAGAGAGTTGTAAAGGGTGGGTCATTAAGTACAGGAAAGGCTGAGATAGATGGATTTTTAATCAGTATGGAAATCAATGGTTATGATGAAAATGCAGGAAAGCAGGGTTGAGGAAGCAGCCATCATCTCATTAAATAGCACAGTAGACTTAATGGACTGAATAGACAACATCTGCTCCTTTGTTTATAGTTGTCTGAAAAGTTCTGAGATTCTGTTAAATGTCACAAAATGGTTTACAAGCAGGATCAAGCTTTATTTTGTTCACTCATGGGCCAGCATTTATTGCCCATCTCTAGCTGCCCTTGAGAAGGTGTGGAGAGCTGTCTTCTTGAACCACTATAGTTTATGTGCTGTAGGTAGACCTACAATGCCATTAGGGAGGGAATTCCAGGATTTTGACCCAGTGAGAGTGAAGGAATGGGAATATATTTCCAAGTCAGGATATGAGTGGCTGGTGTTCCCATGTATCTGCTACCCTTGTCCTTCTAGATGGAAGTGGTCACGGATTTGGAAGGTGCTGTCTGAGGATCTTGGGTGAATTTCTAGAGTGTATCTTGTAAATAGTACAGTCTGCAGCTACTGAGTCTCAGCGGTGGAGGGAGTAGAGGTTTGTGGGGCTGGTCTCAAATCAAGCAGGCTGTTTTGTCCTGGATGGTATCAACGTTCTTCGGTGTTGTTGGTGCTGCCCCCATTCAGGCAAGTAGGGAGCATTCCATCACACTCCTGATTTAATCCTTGTAGATGTTGGACAGGCTTTGGGGAGGCAGGTGGTGAGTGGGAATAGCTCCTCCATATCTGCTCTCGAGAGATTTTGAAAATCTCTATCAAATCTCCTCTCAGCTACCTTTTCTTCAAGGAGAACGTTCCCACCTAAAGTCATAGAGTTGCACCGCATGGAAACAGACCCTTTGGTTCGATTCTTCTATGCTGTCCAGACATCCTAAATTAATCTGGTCTATTTGCCAGCAATTGGCCCATATCTCTCTAAACCTTTCCTAATCATGCAGCCATTCAGATGGCTTTTAAATGCTATAATTGTACTAGCCTCCACCACTTCTGATCAAGGTCCTTTTGTACTCTGAGGTAACCTTCTTCACTGTCCACTACACCTCCAATGTTGGTGTCATCTGCAAACTTACCAACCATACCTCCTATATTCACATCCAAATCATTTATATAAATGACAAAAAGCAGTGGAGTCCACGCCGATCCTTGCAGCACACTGATGGTCACAGGCCTCCAGTCTGAAAGCACCCCTCTACCACCACCCTCTTGTCTGCTACCTTCAAGCTAAGTTTGTGTCCAATTGGCTAGCTCCCACTGAGTCCCATGTGATCTAACCTTAATAATCAGACTGCCATGTGGAACCTTGATGCACGCTTTGCTGAAGTCCATACAGACAATATCTACTGCTCTGCCATCATCAATCTTCTTTGTCACTTTTTCAAAAAACTCAATCAAGCTAGTGAGACAAGATTTTCCACAAATAAAGCCATGCTGACTATCCCTAATCATTCCTTGCCTTTCCAATTGTATGTTTTGCCATTAACAGGCATCTGGGTGTGTATATAAATAGGAAACATTTAGAGGGACAGGGACCAAATGCTGGCAAATCACACTAGGTCGGATTGGGATGTCCGGTCGGCATGCACAAGTTGGACCAGAAGGTCCGTTTCTGTGCTGTATGACTCTATATCAGTGGAAAGTGCCTAAAGTAAAGCTGGTGTCTCATTTCACATATCACAAGATATCAGAAGGTAATGGCAGGTTAGATTCCCCATGACGAGCAGTTTCGTTAACACACATTGTGGCAAGTGGACCCTCACTGTTTCGTTAGGACAGCAACCAAACACCATGTGTGAGGCAATTCCAAAGTAGGAACTTGAAAGTATTGACTCCTGAACAGACTGTACAAACTCTTCTACAGTTTGAAGTTGTTCCAACCATTCTTATTCCCTACAGCCTCGAAAGTGCTAACTAGTTAGAGACAAAGGTTCCAACCCAGTTCCTGTAACATTTAATGAAGAATGTTTCTTTCACCATCAGCTTGCTTGAGCTTGTTGAGTGTCCCTGAGTCATTCTTTTAAGCACACATGAGCAGCAATTACGCACTGAGCCTATCCTGACATGAAGAAGAAACACTTACATTAAATATTCAAAGGACAAAATGTACAGCAGTTACATTAGATATCTCATCAAGCACACGTCTAATTAAGATATTTAAGTGACCTGAAACCATGAAATCATGATCCTGGGAACTGTGTAATATTACAACTGCTTGCCAAGGTTCTGTAGAATATGTCAAAATATCCAGAAGTTACTTGGAAAAACTCCACTCATCCATACTTGAATCTCTCAACATCAGATGTTACTTTAGCATAAGCAGAAAGGCTTAAATCAAGTCCCACATGTTGACTACCTAATACCCATTATTCACATTCAGATCTAAACTCTGTCCATCTCAATCTGACGCCCTCACTATCCATCCTAATCCAGCCCTGTGTCCATCCATTCCAATCCGACTCTGTGTCCACCCACTCCAATCTGACCCCACGCTTTTCCATCCCAATCTGGCCCAATGTCCGTCCTTCCAGAGGCATTGATGAGAAGCAACCAAAAAGAATTCTGGGAGAAGTTGGCTCAGTCACTCAACTGAGAAGGGGATTGTGCAGGACCTAGTGCTCAACAGGAGAAAGAACATCCAGAGGACACTGGCGAGAAGCCACTAAGGAGAATTCTGGGAGAAGTCAGCACAGTCACCATGACTGCTAGTTTCCAGTAGCAGCTTCACCTCGATCAGCAGCTAGGAACTGGAACCAGACAGGCCAGAGGGAGGAGACAGCAACTGAAGCAGGTAAAAACTCGAGCATGGGGCATTTCAGGCCCAGTTTTGAGTAGCAGCCTTACCTTGATCCACTACCCAGAATGCATTGTGGGAGCTGCACTTCGTCACATCACAAGTTCAAAAGTGACATTTGCTAAGTAGACATTTCTGAAGAAGGGTGCCGATCTGAAATGTCAACTTTCCTACTCCTCTGATGCTGCCTGGCCTGCTGTGTTCCTCCAGCTCCACACTGTGTTATACTTGCTAAGTAGTGTTCAGGTAATTCTTTTTTGCCCTCTAGGATTTAAATGTTTCGGGCGAGATAGAGACGGATATAAAAGAGGTGGGGGAGTTGGGTTACAGTTTAGGGAGAATATTACAATTGTACTGAGGGAGGACACTTTGAAGGGCTCATTCAGCGAAGCCATATGGTTGAGCTCAGGAATAGGAAGGGTGCAGTCCAGCAGGAGAGAGGGGAACAGATATGTCCTCAGATTATGGAAAAATGTCAAGACAACAGGGTGGTTGTTGTTGTGGTGGGTGGTTTTAACTTCCTCTACATTGACTGGGATGGTCTGTCCAGGAGGGTTTCACAAAGCAATGTGTGAATAGTCCAATTAAGGAAGGGGCCATACCAGACCTGGTACTGTGAAACGAGCCTGGCCCGGCGATCAAAATTTCAATGGGGATCAGTTCGGGGACAGTGGCCATAATTTGGTACGTTTTAAGTTACTTATGGATAAGGATAAGAGTAGCCCTTGGGTGGAAGTACTAAACTGGGGAAAGGCTAACTACCAATTTATTAGGCAAGAACTGGGGAATGTAGACTGGGGGCAACTATTTGAGGGTAAATCCGTATCTGGCACGTGAGAATCTTTTAAAGACCAGTTGTCGAGAGTTCAGGGCCAGTATGTTTTTGGCACAACATTGTGAGCTGAATGGCCTGTATCTATGCTGTATTGTTTTATGTTCCAGTGAAAATGAAGGATAAGGATGGCAAGATTTGGGAACCCTGGATGACAAGCAAAATTGAGAGTCAAAAGGAAAAAGGAGGTGCATGTAAGGTTTAGAATACCAAAGACAGACAGAGACCTCCAAGAATACAAAGATAACAGGAAAGAACTTAAACAAGGAGTTAAGAGGGCTATAAAAGGGCATGAAGAAAAAACAGGATTAAGGAAAATTCCAAGGTATGTTATACACATATAAGGAGAAAGAGGGTAGCTAAGGAAAGGGAAGGTCCACTCAAGGTCTAAGGAGTGAATTTATGCATGGAGCTGGAGGAAGTGGGTGAGGTCCTTATTTAATACTTTGCACCGGTATTTACAAAGGAGAGGGACAAGGTGGATGGTGAGTCTAGAGAGGGTTATGTTGATATTCTAGCTCATGTAGATACAAAGATGATGTTGAGTGTTTTTAAAAGCAATAAGGTAGACAAGTCCCCAGAACCTGATGGGATCTATCCCAAGAGTGCTGAGGGCAGAGGAGGAGGATATTGCTGGAGCCTTGTACAAGATCTCTGTATCCCCTTTCATCACACGAGAAGTCTCAAAGGACTGGAGAACAGTCAATGTTGTTCCTTTGTTTAAGAAGGGAAACAGGGATAATCCAGGAAATTACAGGCCCATGAACCTCACATCAGTGATAGAGAAATTATTGGATTCTTAGGGATAAGATTTAGAATAGAATAGAACAGAAA